CGACACTCCACATCTATTGTTTGGAACATCTGGCCGGTTCCTTTGCAGTCCACAGTTTCTCCCCAACTCAAGCCCAATGCGCTATCCTTCTGAAGATGGACAACGTGTCAGCAGTCCGCTACATCAATCACAAAATAAAAAATTCTGATCTACATGCCTTGTGATTTCTGGCAATTTTGCCTGACACACAGCATTTCAGTCACGGCAGAATATATTCAAGGTCTCTCCAACACTACGGCTAACTGGTATTCACGCTAACTCAGAGATGCCAGCGACTGGCACTTGGATTCCATGGTCTTCCAAGACATGTGGAACCTATGGGGTCTATTGGAAATAGATTTTTTTCACTTCTTGTTTGAATGCTTAACTTCCCCGTTTTTTTGGGGGTTTTTTTAGTTGGAGACCAGATCCGATAGCACTGGCTATGAATGTTTTCTCCAAGGAATTACAATTTTCTGCCCTTTGCACTAATTCCCTGTTGCCTTTCCATCTACATCGCCAGTCCGGCACCTGGTGATCATGGCTCCTCTATCGCCGTCCCAACCATAGTTCTCTCCTCTTCAGGAGATGGTTATCGACCTTCCATCTCTCGAGTGCCTTCTTCAGGATCCAGATGGTGTACCTCATCCCCTTGTTCTCCAAGGTCTCTTGCATCTCATAGTGTAGTCTATTTTAGGGAACCTTGGTCAGTCAAGGGAGTTTCACAATCAATTCCCCAACTTATCAAAGGTGCACCCAACACGAGACAGGCTTATAAATCTGCTTGGAGCAGATGGCATAGTTGGTGCATGAAATTAAATTTAAATCCCATATCGGTTCCTTTTATGTCTGTCCTCTGTTTTTCTGACTTCTATGATGAAGGTAAAGCCTATCGCACTGTGGACCTTACCGATCATTCATTTCTGCTGGCCATCAAGGTTTCAATTGGATGCCTGTTGGTTGACATCCTGTCATATGTTGACTTCTCTGAGGAATATGGTTTGCTCATCCACCCTTACCACGATACTCTGTCATGTGGGACTTCTCTATTATCTCTAATTTTTTTTCTTGCAAGAGGTTTTTCTGACGAACGAGCTCTTGAGGTGGTTGCTCGTTCCTTTCCTCCAGAACGTGTCCTCTTTGACATTTCACGGAGGACAAAAACCTCCTCTAAAATCAATTTTACCCAGTTTTCCCTGATAGATCTCTCCTTTGCCCTGTTGCATACTAATGTGTGAACATCGTTCCACTACGTTACGGAATCCTTCGAAACAGGAACTCTTCATCTCCTTCCAAAAGTCGCATCTTCCGGTGTCTACTCTAGCCTGGTGGGTCAAATACGTTATGTCTCTAGCAGGTATTGATACCTATATGTCTGTGCCTCATTCAGTTCATGGGGCAATGGCTTCTAAGGCATCCTCGATTGGTTGTCGCTTAGAGGATACTATCAGAGCAGCTGGTCTTCGGAGTCTACATTCCATGATTTCTACTTTAGACCTATTCAACACTTCACAGGAGACATAATTTCACAGCTTTGAACTAGCATAATAGGAGCCTCCGTGTCTTAATAAAATTTACAGATTTTACTATTAACATGACGTAAAGTCATGATTTTATTAATGACACGGAGGCGAGTATTATCCCTCCCATCCCTGGAGGTTTGGTCTTCTCTGGGTAAGTTGACTTCACGGTAAGTCTTTTTTGATTACTGGGTTTTATCCTTGTTAATGACTGTCAAGAGCTTAAGGTTTGACTAAACTGAATGTCATGTTATGTTTATATATCTGATAATCCATGTAATGCAAATTTATGCATGAATCCAGTTTTATACTTACCATATTCTCCTTTCTCTTCCAGCTTGACTTCGAGATCCAGTTTAAGGCTCGTATACCCTCTTATTAGAGCCCACTTTTATTTGGATTTGTTGTCCTGGTTCGGGATCGCAAGAAAGAGGAAGTAGTATACTGGACGCTGCCTATTATGCTATAAAGAGGATGCTGATTGGCTGTTCCTGTTGCTAGGAAGATATGCCTCATGTTATTTACTGGTTTCTTTTATACTGATTTAATTGTATTTTTCTTTGCTGCTGAGGTAAATCAAGAAAGTGTGCAGCATAATACTCGCCTCCATGTCATTAATAAAATCATGACTTTACGTCATGTTAATAGTAAAATCTGTAAATTACAGCACAGGAAACCTGAACATTCTGAGTTGTATACATTAGATAGCACAATGTATAGAATGATATCTATAATCTATAAAATGCTACCGTGTAATTTTTGCGTTTATCCTTAAGTAGGGTAAAATGTTTGTGAGGGCATTTTAGGAGAATACATTTCTCGTCTCTAATGAAATTTTGTTACACTTAAACTCTTTAAAAAAAATAGCATTATTATCGTTTCTCTGTGCTGAGCGACACAAACTGTTGAGTTTAATAACGTATTTCATTACACGCCAGCTCAGCTCAATGCAGGTGATTATAAGATCAGACAGGTCTGGGCTGTACTCAGACTGATTGATGCAGAGCATTATTTTAATGGATTGAACAAAATGTGATGCTACAGAAAATCACTGTGCTTTTACAATGAATTCTGTGGTAATGCAAACACACAGAAATTACCCCATAGCACACAAAAGAGCAAGGAACATACATGACGCAGACCAGAAATTCTTGCCTGGAGACATATATTAAAATACTGATTGCACAGTAAATCTGAAAATATTCAGTTTATCAACATTTAGCATTTACCAGTGCTTCCCATGCTAATTAACTTTTTGATTATAATAGAATAAGTCAGAATTATTTTCACTGCAGGATTTGTATCATGCAACCATAGGCAGCTACTTACTGTTTACCAGTGATAATTCTATTTACTTCAAAGAACACTCCAACACCATAACCACTACAGCATGTTTTAGTGGTCATGGTGCTTGGAGCACCCTGGTGCCCTCCCTGAGTAAGCGGTCAAACCTTTGAGATTGGTTTGAGAACTTACCGGGGGTATACAGGGTATGAGTCGCCACCTCCTCTGCAGCCAGAAAGCTCTGCATTGAGCCATGTCCTACTTATCTCGGAAGAGTGCAATGCTACTCCTGGCACCAAAACTACTACAGCATGATTTAGTGGTTATGGTTCTTAGAGTGTTCCCTTAAGCATTGCCAGGTTTGCCCTTGCTGTTAGCAGTAGTTTGTTTTAGAATATAATAGTGAAAACATTGAATACATTTCATTAAATAATGTGATAGCTTTATAAAACTGGTGATGTCAGTTTGGGCGTCTCTGTCACTAGGGTAGGATTTTCTGGAAGGCAAACTACAAGTGTCATGAATGTGGCTTTCTGCCATCTTCAACATATTTTGTCCACGTCGAGTATGATTTAATATGTGATTATTTTTCAATTATTACCTCCTTTCTTTCTACCCAAAGCAGGTAACACTGGTGCTTCAAGGCCATGTGAGCCCCAGCATCACTATAGTGTGTCGCATTAGGGTAAATGTGATAGTCATGTGACCCTTAACATCATTACAGTGTCTCTCAACAGGCTAATAGTCATGTGACTCCCAGACCATGTAACCCAACATCTTTACATTTGGTCCATAACATCCATTGATACTCCAGCCTGATCAACATGTCATTCACATCATCATTCAAAATCTGCACAGATCTGCACAGCTCAATGGCTTTCATCCC